CAGAAATCAATGAAATAGAAACAAAAAGACCAGTAGAAAAGACCAATGAAACTGGGATCTAGTTCTTTGAAAGAATTAGTAAGACTGATTAACCCCTGGCCAGACTTATCAAAAAGAAAAGAGAAAAGACCCAAATAAAATCATGAATGAAAGAGAGATCACAACTAACACCAAAGAAATACAAACAATGATAAGACCATATTATCAGCAACAATATGTCGACAAATTAGGCAAACTGGAAGAAATGGATGCATTCCTAGAGATATATAAACTACCAAAACTGAAAAAGAAAGAAATAGAAAACCTGAACAGACCCATAATCAGCAAGGAAATTGAAGCAGTCATCAAAAATCTCCCAACAAACAAGAACCCGGGGACAGAGAGCTTCCCAGGGGAATTCTACCAAACATTTAAAGAAGAATTAAAAACTCTTCTGAAGCAGTGTCAAAAATCAAAATGGAAAGAAAACTTCCAAATTCTTTCTGTAAGGCCAGTATTTCCTTGATTCCAAAACCAGATAACGACCTCACCAAAAAGAATTTCAGACCAATACCCCTGATGAACATATATGGAAAAATTCTCACCAACATACTAGACAATAGGACCAATGGTGCATTAAAAGGATTATTCACTGTGACCACGTGGGATTTATTCCTGGGCTACAAAGGTTCAACATCCGTAAATCAATCAATGTGATACACCACATAAATAAAAGAAAGGACAAGAACCATATGATCCTCTCAATAGATGCAGAAAAAGCATTTGACAAAGTACAGCATCCTTTTTTGATTAAAACTCTTCAGAGTGTAGGGATAGAGGTAACATACCTCAATATCATAAAAGCCATCTATGAAAATCCCACAGTGAATATCATTCTCAATGCAAAAAAATGGAGAGCTTTTCCCCTAAAGTCAAGAACACAGCAGGGATGTCTACTATCACCACTGCTGTTCAACATAGTACTAGAAGTCCTAGTCTCACCAATCAGACAAAAAAATAAAAAATAAGAGGCATTCAAATCAGCAAAGAAGAAGTCAAATTCTCACTCTTTGCAGATGACATGATACTCTATGTGGAAAACCCAAAGCCTCCACAACCAAAATGGCTATAACTCATATAGGAACTCAGCAAAGTGGCAGAATATAAAATCAATGCACAGAAATCACTTGCGTTTCTATACACTAACAATGAGACACAAGAACGAGGAATTAAGGAATCAATCCCACTTACAATTGCATCCAAAACCATAAGATACCTAGGAATAAACCTAACCCAAGGAGCAAAGGACATGTACTCAGAGAACTATAGAACACTCATGAAAGATATGGAGGAAGACACAAAGAAATGGAAAAACATTCCATGCTCATGGATTGGAAGAACAAATATTGTTAAAATAGCTATGCTACCTAGAGCAATCTATACATTCAATGCAATCCATATCAAAATATCATCGATATTTTTCACAGAACTGGAACAAATAATCCTAAAATTTGTATGGAACCAGAAAAGACCTTGAATAGCCAGAGGAATGTTAAAAAAGAAAACCAAAACTGGGGGCATCACAATGCCTGACTTCAAGCTCTATTACAAAGCTGCAATCATCAAGACATCATGGTACTGGCACCAAAAAAAGACACACAGATCAATGGAACAGAACAGAGAACCCAGAAATGGACCCTCAACTCTGTGGGCAACTAATCTTCAACAAAGCAGGAAAGAATAGCCAATGGAAAAGACAGTCTCTTCAATAACTGGTGCTGGGAAAATTGGGCAGCCACAAGCAAAAGAATGAAACTGTACTATTTCCCTACACCATACACAAAAATAGATTCACAATGGATAAAAGACCTAATAGTGATACAGGAATCCATCAAAATCCTAGAGAAGAACATAGGCAGCAACCTCTGTAACCTCGGCCACAGCAACTTCTTGTTAGACACATCTCCAAAGACAAGGGAAACAAAGGCAAAAATGAACTATTGGGACTTCATCAAAATAAAAAGCTTTTTTTTTTAAAGATTTTATTTATTTATTTGATAGAGATCACAAGTAGGCAGAGAGGCAGGCAGAAAGAAGGGGGGGAAGCAGGCTCCCTGCTGAGCAGAGAGCCCAATGCGGGGCTCGATCTCAGGCCCCTGAGATCATGACCTGAGCCGAAGGCAGAGGCTTAACCCACTGGACCACCCAGGTGCCCCAAAATAAAAGGAAACAGTTGATAAAATCAAAAGACAACCGACAGAAAGGGAGAAGATATTTGCAAATGATATATCAGATAAAGGGTTAATACCCAATATCTATAAATAACTTATCAAACTCAACACCCAAAGAACAAATAATCCAATCAAGAAATGGGCATAAGGCATGAACAGACACTTCTTCAAAGCAAACATCCAAACGGCCAACAGGCACACGAAAAGGTGCTAAACATCCCTCAGCACCAGGGAAATACAAATCAAAAGCACAATGAGAAAACACCTCACACCAGCCAGAATGGCTAAAATTAACAAGTCAGAAAATGACAGATGTTGGTGAGGACACAAAGCAAGGGGAACCCTCTTACACCAATGGTGGGAATGCAAGCTGGTGCAGCCGCTCTGGAAAACAGTATGGAGGTTCCTCCAAAAATTGAAAATAGAGCCACCCTACATCCCAGCAACTGCATTACTGGGGGTATTTACCCCAAAGATAAAAATGTAGTGACCCGAAGGGACACCATGCACCCCAGTGTTTACAGCAGCAATGTCCACAATAGCCAAACTATGGAAAGGGCCTAAATGTCCATCAACAGATGAATGGATAAAGAAGATGTGGTATATATATACAATGGAATACTACTCAGCTATCAAAAAAAAAATGAAATCTTGCCATTTGCAATGACGTGGATGGAACTAGAGGGTATTACGCTAAGCAAAATAAGTCAGAGAAAGACAATTATCATATCATCTCATTGATATGTGGAATTTAAGAAACAAAACAGAGGATCATAGGAGAAGAGTGCAAAAAAACAAGACAAAACCAGACAGGGAGGCAAACCATAAGAGACTCTTAGTCATAGGAAACAAACTGTGGATCCCTGTAAGGGGGAGCGGAGGAGGGATGCAGTAACTGGGTGATGGACACTAAGGAGGGCATGTGATGTAATGACCACTGGGTATCATATAAGACTGATGAATCACAGACCTGTACCTCTGAAACCAATGATACATTATACATTAACTAAATTTAAAAAAAAAAATTTTAATGTTTAAAAAAAAACTGCCAATTGTAAAAGGAAAAATGTATAAGGATATGCATTTAAGTGTCTTCCAATTAAAAAAAAATAAAAATAAAAACCTAAAAAAAAATGTTCACCAAAAGAGGACTGTTTAAATAAATTACAGAACTATTTCTTAAACTTGGCTGATTATTTGGGCACTTATTAAAAGTACAGATGACTCTGGTCCCTGGGAGAGTCTCATTCACTAGGTTGAGGTTGGGTTACTGAGATGGGTCATATTTTTAAAGAGCATCTACTACAATTTTCACAGTCAAGATAGTTTGGATACCCCAGTAATTATGGTGTTTACATATGCAATGTTATACCATTCAGACATTTATGTGAGAAAGACGTCCAAATCAAATTGCTACATGAGGAGAAAAAGACAAGTTACAAAACACATGTACCATTTGGTTCTTTTCATACAAAATATTTAACTACACACGTGTATACATATTTCACCAGAGGACTCACTTTCAAAGAGGCAGAGGTTCCACGATTATTTAGAATCTTATTGGATTATAAAGGATCCCAACTACACTAAAGAATCTACGTTCTAAGTTTCTATTATTAATATGAATATTACTTTCCACAGGAATAGACGTAAGATTGAATACTGTGTCACAGAGAAAAGTCTGGAATAATGTTCATCAAAATGATAATAAAAGTTACTCCAATAGTAGTTCTGGTGATTTTCACCAGCTTTTTCCTAATATTCTATATTATTTTAATTTTTATTTACAATGAACAGATATTCTCAGAATTGGGAAGAAGAAAGCTGCTTATATGGGAGAAAGTTAAAATATTTTTAATCAAGTAATTTTATGATTATTAAATATATTTTCTGAAATGGGAAAATCCAGGGATGCCTGGTGGCTAAGTCATTAAGCATCTGCCTTCAACTCAGGTCATGATCCCAGAGTCCTGGGATCAAGCCCTATATCGGGCTCCCTGCTCAGCAGGAAGCCTGCTTCTCCCTCTCCCATTCCCCCTATTTATGTTCCCTCTCTGGCTATCTCTCTCTATGTCAAATAAATAAATAAAATCTTTAAAGAAAAAAAAATGGAAAATTCTTACCAGCTTTTAAAATTCAAATGTAAAAGTATAGTGGTTGATGTCAAAGACATAATTCTCTTTAAACAAGAACTATATTAGTTCATATAGCTGAAAAGCCGAGGGAAAATGTGATATGTTGTATCATATAATTAAAATTCAATTGACAAGTAAAAGAATAAAATAAAAGTAGTCTTTTTCAACAAGAACTATTTTTTTTCAACCACAAGGAGAAAAAAATATTAAGATTTAATTTTGTTCACTTATTCCCATAGCCAAGACAATAATCAAGTGAGAGTAACTGAAGGTAAGAGATAAATAAAATTTAACATCCTAATAAGAAACTGGATTATTTTCTTTTTATATCAATTATACCTCAGAAAATTCTTTAAAAAACTAGATTATAAGTTTCCCATTGACTTAATAAAAATACACATTTAGGGGAGCCTTTAGTCGGTTTAGTGTCCAACTCCTGATTTCGGCTCGGGTCATGATCTCAGGCTTGCAATTGGGCCCCACTTCGAGCCCACGCTTGACTGGATCCTGCTTAAGATTCTTTGTCTCCCTTCCCCTCTGACCCTCCCTACTCTGAAAAAAAAAAAAAATTTCTTTTACTTGCAGGAAAAAGAAAAATAGCAGTGTCTAACTTAAAATATATATATATATATATATATATATATATATGACTTACCCCATCCAAGAGAGTATTTGATAAATGTATACGGAGATCTTTACGAAATGGAAATTCCAGATTTGAAACATGAAACACTGAATTATCTCTATCAATCATAAAAACTTCATTTGTGCCATCAATCAACATCATATACCTGTAGATTAAACATTAAAAAGATAATATTAATAGTATAGTTCAAGTGAAGGATCCTAAGAAATAAATTACTTTTCCTTAGACTTACAATAACTACACAGAATAATGTTCACTGGAGTCTCCTAACCCCAACAATTATCATTCAGATTAAAGTACCACAAATAACAAATACTTTTTTAAAAGAATTTATTTTCCTATAAAAACACACAGGGTATCGATAAAGTTTTTTATGCAGACAATGTGATGTTGAAGTGCAATCTTATGACCTACCTTAGGAGAGAATAGTTCTCTAATTTTTATTAGATCTTAAACATCAATGTTTACAAAACACACATACACTTATATGGAATTACTGCATTTTATTAGCCCAACAACTTCCTGAATTAGTTATTACTCTCCACTTTGCAGTAGGAAAAAAGAGAAAGTAACCAACTGGCAAATGGCTGGACTTCAAATTATCCAATGCTCTTTCTACCACACTACAGTTAGCAAAAGAGCTAACCCCTCTCTTTGAATCAAGATTATAATATAGCCAGATATCACCATTTCAAGTACAATTCTCATTCATTCCTATAAAGTTAAAAAAAATTTTTTTTAAAGATTTTATTTATTTATTTGTCAGAGAGAGAGAGGGAGAGAGAGCGAGCACAGGCAGACAGAATGGCAGGCAGAGGCAGAGGGAGAAGCAGGCTCCCTGACGAGCAAGGAGCCCGATGTGGGACTCGATCCCAGGACGCTGGGATCATGACCTGAGCCGAAGGCAGCTGCTTAACCAACTAAGCCACCCAAGCGTCCCTAAAGTTAAAATTTTTAAAACATATTAAACACAAAACATTTTAAACATTCCTGAGAATTTTTATCAGCCCTTATCTTCTTAGACCCAATCAATTTATGGGGAGGGTTATATACTTTAAAATGCATCATTCCCTCAAATGGTCAAGTTACTGTCACTGCTTCCCCATCAGTGGATCACCAAGAATGGAGCTGTACTTCACGGAGTACATATAAAAATAAAGTCCAAATGGATTCAAGCTGAGGAAATTACAGATGAATAGGCTATGCTACCAAATGAATAATGGCAAGAATGGGGGTGAAAAGATGATACCAGGTACCAAAATTTTCAAATGAGAGAAAATTGACAGGAATGAGTAAGAAAGTTAAAAGGCGTGAGACCCAAAAGAACGGAATTTTATTTTAAGTTGTTCTTACTTGCTGATAATTGAAAGAATGGAGGAATAAAAGTCTGGATATACCACTGAAAATGGAGAAGGCTGACCAGTCTTGCCCAACCTTGGGCCCACAAGGTATTTCAGAAAAAAAGAAGCAACAACTGAAAGATGTACCTCAGACAAGTTAAGGCCAGGGGGTAGAAGAAATATTAAATGAAACATTAAATGAAGAGATGGAAGTTAACAAGCAGAGGCTAATGTAACAGAGGATAATTTATTTGGCATAAACAAGTGTTCTAAAGAGCAAATAGACATGTTTAGAACAGGAGAGGAGAAATGGGAGAGCTGATTAAGGTATAAGAAGTATGTGACAAACAGTCTGAAGAGCAGCAAAGAAGACCAAAAGAGCTTACATCTGGGGTTTAAATTGGAAGCATGCTGTTACTAGTGTTTTCAAAATAATTAGTCCCAGCAGGTACCTGGGGAGAAGGTGGAGCACTCAGGCCCTTGCTACATATTCAAACAGTGGTAGCCTTAGTAGGTGTGGGTCCTGGAGAGTCAGGTTACACTAGGAAAAATATAATCAGCCTGTCTAGAATGACTGTGCCTCTGAGAGACTTCTAGACCTACTGCCAGGTCAGCAGGCAGGCAGACAACAGAAATACTTAGCCCCTAAAGCATTCCTGCATGTGCTTTTCAAAAGCAGCAACTCCAGATGGATAGGGAGAATCTAGATTTCTTGGAAGAAGTTAGCCTTCCCCTGGATTGTGTTTCAAAGAAAAGTTAAATCAACATAAGGAAAGGTCAAATAAAAAGCAATTGTGATATCTTCTGCAAAAATGTTACTGAAGACATAATCCATCAAGTTGTTCACGGACTTAGGCCAGCACTTTGCAAAGCTTAATATTTACTTTAAAAGCATTTAATGGCAAAATGAATTAAGGAAACTATCTTTCTCTTAGAAAGTCAAGATACGTGTTAAGAATACTTAAGGTTATGAGAAAACATGTAAGAAGTTTCTTTATGACAACAAAAAGACATCCAAATTAGTAAAGAAGTAAAACTTTCATTATTTGCAGATGGCATGATACTCTGTAGAAAACCCAAGAGACTCCACCAAAAAACTACTGGAACTGGTAAGTATACTCTAAAACACTGATGAAAGAAGCAAGCTACAGATTTAATACTACACCTAGCAAAATACCAATGTCATTTTTCACAGAACTACAATGAATAATCCTAAAACTTGTATGGGGACCCCAAATAGCCAAAACAATCTTGAAAAAGAAAAACAAACCTTGAGGTATCACAATTCCAGACCTCCAGTCATAGTACAAAGCTGTACTAATCAAAACAGTATGGTACTGGCACAAAAACAGACACATAGATCAATGGAACAGAACAGAAAACCCAGAAACAAACCCACAATTATATGGTCAATTAATTTATAACAAAAGAGACAAGAATATGCAACGAGTGATAGACAGTCTCTTCAACAAAGGTGTTGGGAAAACTGGACAGCTACATGCAAAAGAATGAAACTGGACCACTTCCTTACACCATACACAAAAATAAATTCGAAATCAATAAGAGACCTAAATGTGAGACAGGAAATCATCAAAACCTTAAAAGAGAGCATAGGCAGCAATTTCTCTGACATTGGCCATAACAACATTTTTCTAGATAAGTCTCCTGAGGCAAAGGGAAAAAAGCAAAAATAAACTATTTGACTGCATCAAAATAAAAAGCTTCTTCACAGTGAAGGAAACAACCAACAAAACTAAAAGACAACCTACTGAATGGGAGAAGATATTTGCAAATGACATAACTGATAAAGGGTTAATATCCAAGATATATAAAGAACTTACACAATTCAACACCCAAAAAATAAATAATCCAACTTAAAAATGGGCAGAAGACTTGAACAGACATTTCTTCAAACAAGATATACAATGGCTAACAGACATACAAAAAGGTGCTCAAGATCACTCATCATCAGGGAAATGCAAATCAAAACTACAATAAAATATCACCTCCCACTTAATCAGAATGGCTAAAACAACACAAGAAACAACATTGGTAAGGATATGGAGAAAGAGGAATCCTCTTGCACTGGTGATGGGAATGCAAACTGTGCAACTGCTCCAGAAAATAGTATGGACGTTTCACAAAAAATTAAAAATAAAACTACTCTATAATCCAGTAATGGCACTACTGGGTATTTACCCAAAGAATACAAAACCCTAAGCCTAAAGGATGCATGCACCCCAATGTTTACTGAAGCATTACTTACAATAGCCAAATTATGGAAGCAGACCAAGAGTCCACTGAAACATGAATGGATAAAGAAGATGTGGTGTATATATATATACATATATATATATATACACACTGGAAAAATATTCAGCCATTAAAAAAAGAATGAAATCTTGCCATTTGCAACATCTTGGATGGAGCAAGACAGTATATAATGCTAAGTGAAATAAGTCTGTCAGAGAAAGATATATATCATGATTTCATTCATATGTGGAATTTAAAAAGCAAAACAAAAAAGGGGGGTGAGAGAAAGATAAATCAAAAAAACAGACTCTTGGGGCACCTGGGTGGCTCAGAGGGTTAAGCCTCTGCCTTCGGCTCAGGTCATGATCTCAGGGTCTTGGGATCAAGCCCTGCATCAGGCTCTCTGCTCAGCAGGGAGCCTGCTTCCTCCTCTCTCTCTGCCTACCTCTCTGCCTACTTGTGATCTCTGTCTGTCAAATAAATAAATAAAATCTTTAAAAAAAAAAACAAAAAACAGACTCTTAACTATAGAGAACAAAAGGATGGTTGCCAGAGGGAAAGTGGATGAAGGGATGGGTGAAATAGGGGATGGGGATAAAAGAATACACTTGGGGCGCCTGGGTGGCTTAGTGGATTAAAGCCTCTGCTTTTGGCTCAGGTCATGACCCCAGGGTCCTGGGATCGAGCCCTGCATTGGGCTCTCTGCTCGGTAGGGAGCCTGCTTCCCGCTGTCTGTCTGTCTGTCTGTCTCTCTCTCTCTCTCTCTCTCTCGCTTCCTGCCTCTCTGCCTACTTGTGATCTCTCTCTCTCTCTCTCAAATAAATAAAATCTTTTTTTTTTATTTTTTTTTATTTTATTTTTTATAAACATATATTTTTATCCCCAGGGGTACAGGTCTGTGAATCGCCAGGTTGTGTAAATAAAATCTTTTTAAAAAATAAATAAAGAGTACACTTAACCATGATGAACACTGAGTAATGTATAGAATTGTTGAATCACTATACTGTACACCTGAGACTAATATAACACTGTATGTTAACTACACTGGAATTGAAATAAAAAAACTTTTAACAAAAGAAAAAAGAAAAAGAGAAGTCTGTTTATCTTATTTAGCCCATTATCTTCAAACTTAATCGGGATACCTGTTAGTATTCAGCAGAATTAGTGCTCCACATTCACAGTTTTAGGACAGCTGAATTAGGCTAATACATTTTAAAATTCAAAAAAAGAAATGCTCTTCTGCTCATATGATGACAAAAATTATATTTCCCTTTTCACTGGCTGCTCAGAAGCTCAGAATTAAATATAATGCTGAAACTGAATAAATATTCAATCCCAAGGTGTGGCATAGTTGTTTTTCCTACCATAACTGTTTATTTCATATTCATACTTTAACACATTATATATAGGACATATATCATTCATATATATATGTAAAAAGAAAGTATGTAAGTAAAAAGCAAGGTTTGATAGTAAGATATATATATGTGTATATATACACGTGTATACACACACACACACACACACATACACACACACACACACACACACA